CATTTTGTATTTTGTAAAGTTTTAACACCAAACTTGTAAAAGCTATCGCTCTTTATACTTTCCATTTTTTATTCTGGGTTGACAGAAATTTGTGATGACTGATATAAAAATTTTTAGTGCTCTGAAATAAAATTAACGTGACATGCAATCTACCTTTTTAATTTGCATTCTTTCATTTTTTATTTTACAGCTATTTATTATTTTCAACTTCTTAAAATTTTGTATATATAGAGTAGAAGAAATCCATTGTCCCGGTCTACAATAGATTAGGTATTTAAGAATAGATATTTTAAGCTTTATAAGCCCAAAATTTGACCAATTACAGTCGAATGTGAGGAGAATTTGACTGTGACTGGTCATTTTCTTAGGACTTGGGCGCTTAAAACGCCTATTGATTAATTATATATAGACATTTAATACTGTAAGTGATTATTTGGCTAGTGATTAATTACTTATTTTGAGTATTAAAAGTACTGTTTTTAATGATTTTAATACTTAAAATAAGTAATTAATTACTAGCCAAATAATCACTTACAGTATTAAATTTCTATATTATGAAACTAGAATTCACGTGGATATTACGAGGATATAGGCTCCAAAATTCCACGAATTTCCACCTTACATCCTCATAATACTCACGTGAAACTTTCACGTAAATTCCACGTCGAATCGATGATCTCATCCACGTGGATCCGACTACCGTTTTTAAGCGGATAATCCACTCGATTGTCTACGTGATTTCTACGTGGTTGGTCTACATGAAAGAAACGTGGATTCCACGTTCCTGTTTTACTGGGGTATCTGCCGGAACATTGACTCAGACCACCGCGTATACCGCGTTCGATGAACATAACCATGTCAATGTCGGTGAGCAGTTCGAAATTTACGCGAGTATGCTTCAACATGGCGTCCCATGTGAAACCTGGCAAAGTATAGTAGTACGCGGGATCGAGTCCGTAACTCGCTATACAACTGTCGCGGAAATTTTCAAAAACGTCAGCCAATAACAAGACATCGGTCTTTAGATACAGATCGCTGTATTCGCCCAAGGTTCGAACGGAGAACCGTCGCCAGACGTTAGCGGCGTGCTCGTAATCGCTCTCGGATACGGTGTCACCGGTCAAGAAACTGTAAAACGATTCGCGCGGTGGTAAACACGTGTCCTCCAGCTTGTCCAAACAATCTACGTATTTGTACGGAAATACGCCTTTTCGCGTCAAAAGATCAAATTCCTCGATCGATAATTGTAAAAACTGAGAACGTACAATTTTTAACTTATCTCTGCATAGAAAAGATGCTAATTTATCGAGGCTGCTACTCAAAAATTTATACGAATCGATAAACCGTAATTTTATGTCGCTTCGTGAATCTGATTTTTCTGCGGTATCTTTAACGTGTTTCGTGAACGAAATGTATTTTTCTTTCGTGATTGGAAGTAAGTCTACGTGTCCTTCGTACGCTGTAGCTATTTCCTTGATAATAAAATGCGCGTCGTAACCCGATAAATTATGAAAAATTATTGGAATGTAATGCGAATCTGTGTAATTTAGATTACAGTTGGAATGCGCGCGACCTCTATAACTACCGGTCAGATGACAATGATCGCGTACTCGCACGTCGTCTGGCTCGAACGGTTTTTCGCAAATGTGGCAATGCGTCGCGCTGTGAAATATCACCCGCTCGTCTCGCGTTAATTCCGTCATGCAATTACCGGATAAAATACTCTTTACGTCATGTGCTAAACGTCTTAGTTCCTCGACGAACCACGCGACGCAATCCTTATCGCGACGAAATCGATACGCGGATAACGAGTCGTCGTACGAGCACCGCACGTAATATTCTACGCTAAATACCCGATGATGTTGAGACGTGTATGTGGACGTTGTCGGATCCGCATCCGTCTTCTCGAGGGTACATTCCAGGTCGGCGTACACGACGAACGGAACTCGTTCCTTCCTGCTGTGATTCTTAAAACTCAGCCACTTGTCGTCCTCGCTCGGTAGTCGGATCGCACAGTTGTTTATCTCTCGGCAGTCTACTCCGTGGGCTTCCAATTTCTCGCTCGATCTAAAATAATGTAAACAACTGCAAAA